CAATTTGCTCTGTTGCTTTGAAGCTTTTCGTGCCCTCATAACATCCAGTACCATTATGGCACACAGATCTGGTTGATGCACGGAAGGACAGCTGAACAGTCTCTTGAGCTGAATGTACAACTATGTTCATTTTTATAACAATTTCCTCAACCTACTATGTGTTTCAAATGTTATTATTGCTATTTGCGACAAGAAAAATTAATTAATTAGTAGCATTTACTGACTAAATTTTTGCTGTTGTCAGTTCACTTCGCTGACAGGGATGGGTTGTAGAGAGGACTGATCGTTTCGCTATCCTTACTGGACCACTTTTACCATCATCGGCTCCGTCTTCCTTGTTTTTGGCAAAGTACGTAAAATATGCAGTTGTTTAACAAAAGTTTTGCACATTATTTTCTCTCTTTTGTTTTATTTTGCTCGTTAATTTTGCAAGAAGTCCGAAAACTGCAATGTTTATGTTAATTGGTTTTAGAAAAAGCAGAAAAGATTACCTTTATTGAACTGTTTTATGCATTGTAGGTGCGAGCGTAAACGATTAATAAAAATTTGTCATCCCTTTGTTGTTTAAGACAGTTCACTAAACTCTGCTCTTCTGGCCTTCATCTCGATTACGGCAACGAAACAGTGGATACATGTATCGTGATAACATTAACACACGTAGAGTTCCTTGTTGTCGGTTGTGCGTATCTAAACAGATACAATGAACTTTTAGATTAACAGGCTATTGGTGATGTTAGTGCCACAGTTGTGGCCAACTGTTTCAGTATCGACAAAAATTTAGTAGGAATTTTCACCACTTTAACCAGTTGCTTTACTTCTTAGGCTTTCTGCTGATTCTTCGGTAACTAGACTGTACTTTTTTTGCGCCTATACTCGTCCACAAATACTGTTCATAGTAAAACCTATCAAACTACATTCTTTAGAGTCGGCAACAACTGGAACAATTAATTATTCAGCAGCTTATTAGTGTCCACAGTTTAAAAACTTAATTGCTGGTTAAAGTGGCAATTTTAGTTGGTATATCTCCAAATGACAAATTTTTTTTGCAGTCGAATTAAAAAAAATTTTTTTTTCACCGGAAATGACCAAAATTTATGTATTTTCACTTTACACCTTGTTTCTCAGTCGTTTTTCTTGTCAGATTTATGCTTAACTTTTGTTGAGTCCTAAATGGTACGGTTTTAAATGTTGACCAATTGTATCCTGAAAACTTTAGAACAAAAGAAGAAAGCAGATATATTTGAAGTTTGCAAATTGGTTTTCAGAAACTGAATTAAATTTTTCAGACAAACTGTTTACCTTGACAAAAAAATTCTTTGCAGTTCTGGTAGCTGATTGAAGTGATCTCTGATAAAAATAAACGTGTTTTTCTCTTATGTGTGCGTTCTTTTTTTTGAAAGAACATTTCTATAGAAAAGAATGCACGTATTTATAAATTTCGACTCTTCATCGATACATCAAAGTTTGATTTTTTTTTTTCCTGCCTGTGATTGCCTTTTTTTTCCTTTTTTTTTTTTTTTTCAGTTTTATTTGTAATGACCAGCTTTAATTTATACTTTTTTCCTCAAGAAATAATATGCGTTTCTTTAATTCGTTTCAACTTCTCTGATCTTGTGCATTAAAAAAATATTTTAGACGCCACTGGTCAAGAATGACTGAAAATTTAGTGTTAAATTTCAGGATAAACGGTTTCTTCGTATAAAAATATTCGAGAACGCAAAATTTTTGTGTTCCATAACCTCTTACTGTAATATTTAATTTTTGAAATATAATTTTATACCATAAGAGAAATCTGAATAGGGAAGCCTATTAGTGTGTTACTTTTATTAGACTATATAATAAAGCCTTTCTTGGCGGCTTTTGGTTCTTCAACATATTAATTTGCTGACCAGTTTGACTGTGACCGCCACAGAAACCAGGAGGATCAACAATGCAACAAAGCGATTGTTGTTCCAATGACACCAAATTTAGTGAAACTTATCAACAGAAAACAATTTACTTCCGAAGCATTATATAAGAAAATCTAAATGAAACAATGTGTACATCTGATAACTGTTAACTAATTTTTTTGAAAAAATACCAATATCTTTTTTGGCACTCTGTCGACAGCGTACTTCATTTAATTTATTTCTACCGTATGAGGTGTACAAGATCTGTACAGTCGAACATTTTGATAAATTTTAATATGTATCTTGTACCTTTAACAACACTTGAAAAATTAACAAATTACGTCAATTTACTGATCTAAAAATCTTTATCAATGTAGCCCTGGTTTTACCAAAGTGCTCCTTCACTTTTTTGCATTATCACAAAAGACTATAGTGTACAACGTTATTAGCTCTGAATTTCCAGTCATAACCATTTTCAAAAAAGTTCTCCAGGTATTCGCATATAATTCGACCAGCCATGAAGACTGCCTTGAATGCCGTGAAACAGGCTTGCAATGGCCGACGTTTACATTCAAGTCAGGTCAGTTACAACATTCACCGTTGCTCAGCTCTGTAACAAGTTGCGTTTCTCCTTCAACAAAAAAGTCATTGTCACTGAATTGGAAGAAAAAACACTCAAAACGCCTTTTTAACTAACAGCAAAGCATACGGATTTTTTACGAATCAAAAAATTTAGGCAACAAGGCGGCTTAGAGTGCTCAGCAGCGTCTTACACAAAAATCCCGTCAACTACACAACGTATGAAGATGCTGTTTCGATCATTGAACCAAGTGACTACACTTTTTTTACTTTACTGACAGTTATAATAATTAAACTACCTGATACCATTGACTGTAGAATTTTTTGTCGAAGTGGTGTTGCCATCATGATGATGAATAAAAGTATTGTTGGAAATCTTTGGTGTTCAAATTTAGGCTTGCAGATATGGAGGTTTACGTCCATGGTATGGCCTGTACACCAACAGAAGTGATGGATGAGATGTGCAAGCAGGTGGATAATGGGCGACTTTCTAACATCAAGGTTAGCCATGTACTAGTACAGGGTAACATTCCATGGAAGAATCCTAAGTACTACGGTGAGCTATTTGTCTATTTACAAATTATCATTTATAAACAACAGGACTGTTCTAAGTGCAGTACAGCAAATTTTTGTTGATAAAATAAGAAATTTTAATAAGTGTACAGAAAAATAGCTTATAAAGTGCTTTTTTAGGCAAGATCCGTTCTAAATGCCTTTTTGTCTGTGATAATATGAGGAAGTTAGTTAACGAAGGTAATGTCTGATATACGACCGTTTCAATGTTACCTTTTCAAATCTGATTATTTAGTGCCAAATAAATGGCTTACAATTGTAGGTCATGCTGACTGTTATTCAATTTTTTTGTCTGAAATTGCCAAGATGTACACTTCGTTCACAGCACCAGTCGACGTTGCAATTGTCTCGGTGACGCCACCAGACCAGTTTGGCTACTGCAGTATGGGAGTTAGCATAGACTGTACCTCCAGCGCTGTACGGGCTGCTAAAAAGATCATTGGTAATTCACTTTCAAGAAAATGACGCTAGTAGACCTTCAGAGGCTTAGTAATGTGAGGATGAAAGTTTAGAGGCGATTGGCATCAAAAGTAATAAAAAATTCAGGACTCGTAAACGAAACAGTGCCACGTACTTTCGGCGATTCGTTGATACATTCATCTCATTTTGATAAAATTGTCAGAACAAATCGACCTGTTTACTCAATACCACGACAAGAGGACGGAACAGTTAATGTCGTGGAACAAAAGATTGGGGAATTAATTGCCAATAATCTTGTCTCTGATGGTGCAACACTGCAAATGGGTTAGTAGTAAAACGTGTGAATTGCTCTATTTTTTGTAGTTCTGAAACTACTAAGCTGCATAAGACAAAGCTCATTGTTTAATTTAGGGATCGGTGGCATCCCGGACGCAACGTTGGCACAGATGGTTAACCATAAAGACTTAGGTGTACATACGGAACTGTTTGGTGATGGTGTTACCAACTTAATTAAGAAGGGAGTGATAACAAATGCACGTAAAACTTTGGATCCTGGCAAAATTGTTTCTTGCTTCGCGTTTGGGAGCCAATCACTATACGACTTCATAGATAACAATCCATTTTTCCGTAAAACTTTCGTTCTTCTAATAGCAGTGTCTAGACCCTTGAAGTAACGTAATATATAAAAGGTTTTTGGCTTGTTTATTACCGATGAGGGTGAACATGAAGTAATTCTGATGACATTTTTTACTTTTTTTCAAAGACGTAGTTAGCATTTAACATATATAAACAGTTCCTGTGATGTAAGAGTTTATGGATAACGCCCATAAGCAAATTTTCAGTATTCCGTGCTTGTTCATACACCAACGAACCACAGGTTATACGAAAACAGCATCGGATGACGGCCATTAACTCTGCTATAGAAGTAGATCTCACTGGACAAGTCTGCGCAGATTCTATCGGTACAAGAATTTATTCAGGTACACCATCCGTCTTTACTCATTTGTTTGATTACTTGCACACTTTGATCCCCCCTGGACGTCGTTTCGTTCCCTTCAAAGGCGATTGGGACTCATCTGCATTTGTCCCAGCTGGTTTATAACTATAACTATAAATATAAATAAATAAATAAATAAATAAATAAATA